AACAATTCCACCTGTTGGTGAAATTCCACCAGCAGGGAATGCACAAAACATCTGGAAGTCATAACAAGACTCCAGGAAATGCAAGGGTTAGGCAAGGAGAGATACCACTGGTTTGAGAAAAGCCTTAGCTTGGTCATCCCTCTGTGACCAAGGGTTTCTTCAAGCCAGTCCCTGCTACTGATGGCTGTCACAAAGAGCACCCCTTCTTTATTCCAAGCACAAAGCACAAAAAAAGAGGGTTTGACTCAGTCTTCTCTTGCCCCATTTCACTCACAGCTGAAGATCAAGTGCCAGCTAATAATCCTCGCCACAGCTGTCAGATTTTTGCATGTGGAGCAATACATGGAGGTTCAGTGGAACTATGCTACATGATCCTATAGTTTGGTCCCACAGAGCTGATACTGTTGTTTTGCAAGAGTTGGGAACTTTTCCTGAAGATGTAGAGAGGTACCAGAGCAACTTTCACAATAACCTGTCACTGTTTGGGAAGGGGAATTACACCATAGTGCCCAGACTCCTCTCAGAGCTGCAGAGATGTAGGTCTGAACAACACAAAAAGCACAGTGGCCAACTCATGCTGCTGTTTTTGTCTGGGTATCCACCACCACCAAGCCTGGTCATGGACTCCAAAGTGTTCCAGTGTTCCTCCTTACTAGAAAAAGACAGAAGGGGAACTCAGTGTCCCAGTTTTGTTTTGCTTTCTTAAACGGTGAAGTTTTCTTATTCAAGTGATCCTTCAAGAGCCCTTGCAGAGCATCAGATGTGTTTTGATGGGAGCTATGGACTGGGTCCTGAAAGGGAGAGATCTGAGCCACTAAAACCAGCACAAAATTCACCACAAAGTGATACACAAAGTGTATCCGTGTTTCCCTGAAGAATATTCTTTTCCAAAGGAGAAACTCTTATTTGCTAGTTGGGCTTCCAGAACCTTAGCCTTTCCCCAGTACTCCAAAGTCATCCACACATTGGGATTGTTTAAACCTACAGCTCTTCCCACAGTAGCTCCTCAATGACTTACACAAATTCTCTTCTTCTCCAGCACCTGCCGACATTCCCTTCTGGGATCTCTGCTGACACCCAGCCAGTCTTTCACAGCACCACCCGCCCAACCTCATCCCTCTCATGTAAAACTGAAATCCTTCCAGATCAGAGGAAACTCTTCCCTTAAAGGGACTTCAACCATTCCATAAACACTGGGTGGGGCTCCCAGCACCTCCATGTTACAGTAAGATCACCATCCCATGCTGCTAGGGAAGAAAACAGGAAATCCCTGTAATCAAGAATCTTGGAGGTCAATCAAAAACTGAGAACAAGGATCAAAATTCCATCTTCCATTTATCCTCACACTCTTACATCCTAATCACCCAGGAGAAGTTCTGTACCACCAATTCCTTCTGCCACTAAGTACTAAAAAGCAAGACAAACTAAAGGATTATTCCCAGTCAGAACACATTGTCTGGAAACTCACTATAGGCAAAATGAAAAACCTCAATAAACCAGAGAATTAAATGCATTAATTATGCTGGTATTATAATTAACGATAATCCAAGTTATTTAAATGCTTTTAGATTAATACTCCACAAGAGTCCATCACAGCAGCTGACACACATATACTGAGAAGAGGCCACTACCTAAAATTTTAAGAAAAATACTTGGATTTATTATTCATATGACCAAGGAGGCTTCTTTTCATCTTTAGCTTTGAAAATAAATTTATATTCCTTAGAAATTCAGTTATTTCTAGCTGGCTGAAGCCTAGGAAGTCTCCTCTCTTTGAGCCAGTCACATTATAGCTTTTCATTAATGTTGCAGTAAGAGACACAATAGAACTAGCATCCACCAGGCAAATGACAGCACTTAAGTTACACTGACTCGGAAGTAATGAAGTGAAGGTACTAGAAAGGAAAATTTCTGCTGGAAAACCATCTCACTTTGACCTTAACCCTGTCAGAGATGCTGTCTCTGTTACGATACTGCAGTTATCTTGAAGCAGCAATTATCTTAGTGTTAGTTCAGGGATTTTTCTTTTGTTAAGAACACCTCCGTACGCCAGTACAAGAATCTCTCTCATGTTATCACTTGGATTATTTCCTTACAGTCCTGGCAGATTCAATGTCAGAGCAGCCTTGCACTCCCCTGAACCCCTTTTGAACCAGCACCTCAGGCCAGTAACCACTGACCCCCACAGGAGCCACCTGCGGTGGGTGTGATCCCCACTGTTCAGATAAACAAAGACATTGATTTTTGACTGTCAGCCACCCAAACCAGATGTGATTTCAATCTGTCATTATCTCCCCTGCACATGAATACTTAAGGTATGTGACACAATTTTGATTACTTATTTTTAAATAACTGGTCATGTCCATACCTCATTTGAGGGACTAAAACCCCAGCACAGGCTGAAGGCAGGGTCCAGCCATCCACCAGAACTCACCAGGGGACTGTATCCAATTATGACTTATTCCATCCTTTTTCATTTAAAAACCATGGGAGAAATATTAACTAAATTGCATGGCAATCACTTTAGAACACATTATTTGAAAATTGTGGGTAATAATGTAATTTTCCCAGGCTCTTGAAAGGTCCCAGCTGTTTAATAAAACATGAAGAACTTACCTCCCAACTAGCCTGACAAGACCTCTTTGCCCAGCTTTCCTTTATCCTTCGACATGTGGACTTCCAGAAGTCCACATGGCTACCAGCATAAACCTGGGAACTGCCACAGACCGAGCCAAGCAGCAAAATGAACTCCAAATAAGTTGATTCAAATTGTCCATATCCCTGTATTCCATAACACTTCCAAATCATCACTGCCAGCAGCAGCTTCCTTAAAAAAGGTAGGCACAGTAAAACCACTGAGGATTCCAGCAATCAGGAATCCACAGGTAAATCTGTAACACCAGAGGAGCAGTACAGACAAAACCAAGTTCTGACATAAAGAGTATTTGCAAGACCACGTGGAAGAGTGCTCATTTTCTTTTTTTAAAGAAGGACTGTATTTCTGCATTACTGTTACACAAATGTTATATCAGAACCAGAATCAGAAATCAGCCCAGTTTAGTTTGCTACACTAATGGAAATTCAACATTTGAGGCTCTTAAGAAACTAAGTCACCGAAGTTGAGATGTTTCCGTGATTAGATTAAAAAGACAATAAAGTATCTCAGAAAAGACTAACAGTTTTTGGCTGCAGTCACCACCTAACATAACACCATTTAGCATTGTTAGAGAAATCATTTCAGGAACATGAATAAGCCCAGGTAACAGCAAAAGGATGTGAAATATGGAGGAATGTAGGTGAATACTGCATGTAAGTTCATGACAGATGAAGTAACACTCAACTAATTCAGGAAATTAAGACTGTTTTTAAAAGCTCTTCAGTACCTGTCACTTGACTTCTGTTGCCTCGGGAAATAAAAAGTACAAAGCAAGATACAACAGGGAGCTTTGAGCTTCACAATCTTAAAGCTGAACTGAAAAAAAACAACCCCTGTATTTAAGGAGACCTCACCCTTTCTTCAGAAACTAAAGCAAGTCCAAACACTTTTTTTGGCTAAACAAGATAAAGACACCTTTCTCCTGGGAAAAGTCTTTACATGACATCAAGTTGAAAGAATTTTATACACTGATATCAGAAGTTTAGCCAGCTTAAAACCAGAGATTCTAAAGCCAAAGAGCAATGTATTCCACATGGAACCTAGGAAAGATGTTGAAATCTATTCCCCCACCACCCTCTTTTTTTTCTTCAAAGTAGATTTTTGTAGGCCTTTTAGAGTTTGCATGTGTAAACATTTGTTCACAAGAAGGAATTTCAATCCTGCAAAACACCACAGAAGTCTATAAGATACATCCCAGAATGAGAAGTAATCTGCTTAGCAGTAGCATTTTCTTGAATTAAAACAGAGGCACACAGTATATTACATTCTTCAGCTACAGAGTCAAAAGCAACTGCAAGAACAGATGTTAATTTTCCCTGTATATCCATTAGATGGAACTAATGTAGAATCAAATGTGTTATTCCTGACAGAACACAAATAGATCACAACTCATCAGCTAAATGCACACGCTCATCATTCTGCTACAAAACTTTCAGCTCAAACAGTCACAGGCCCCACATACCTCCCCCCCGCCCCTAATCACTCCTTGAATTAACTGTTACAAAAACTACTACCAGAGAGTGGCCTCTTCTAAGACATGTATACCTAGAAGAGCATTAACTTACTGCAAACACTGTAAAATATTGGAACATTCCAAGGTCACCAGAGAATGCTGTGGGTTTGACCGGTATATAATCTTCCATGAACATCCAAGGATTTCACTCCAACCTCTAAACTTCCCCAAAAAGCTCCCCAAGAACTCAAGAACTGTGGAAAAGACTTAGGAAAAACACCACCATCACTACATCTCCCTTCAGTACTTCCAGCCTTTTTCCCTCTTCCAAGCAGAACCAGAGAGTTGGGTAAAGCAGAGCTTGGAATCTCCACCACCATAGCTACATACACCCAAAAACAGAACTCCATTTTTTATTTTTGCTTTACATTTCCAAGCAGCTCCCATTTGATACCATGGTAAACTGAACGGTTAATGAAATTATTTGCTCTCTTTAACGTACATCAATAAGCACTCAAATACAGAGTCATAAATAAACTACTGTAACAACAATATTGATGCTTCTATTAAAGACTGACAAGAGCTCAACCCAAAGGTATTACCAAGTAGTTCAGTATTTTGCAGTTTGCCTAATCAAACAGTTTTGGCTTAGCAGAACATTCACAAAGAAAGGAAATCAAAATAAGAGAAAACTGACTTCAATTTCCAGTTCAACTGCTGACTGATAAGTCTCAAGGAAGCCTTTCCTTTTCCAACAGTCTTCTGCCTAGACAAGGAGGAGTATGCTTACTTACCACAGAGAAAGCTGAGATTTGAGAGGCATAAAGTGCTGCAGAGAAAGAAATACAGATGCTGAGTACTGTTACTCCACAGAAAAAGAAAGAAAACTGGTTATTTTAAACAAGAAGTTTATTTAAACAACAAGACGTTTTACTTGAAGGGAAAACTATCTAGGATTTTTTTTTTCCTTTTTTTTTTTAAAGAGTAATTTACCCCTACTTAGACAGAGATTGCTCTACATGTAACAGCTACGTACAAAAAAGTTATAAAATTGCCCTTGGTTTTACAATGATAAAAGAAAAACATTGAAATTATCCAATCAAACAAGGTACGCAAGGTTTTTGTTTTTGAACAGTGAGAGCAAAATAACTTACTGGAATATAAAGATAACTCGGCTTATTCTGTGATTCTGTAAAAGTAGAAGGAGCATGCCACTAACGGAGAGAGGGGCATTTTCACAGAACCAGTTTGTTTTCCCATCCCATCTCCATTAAATGTTGATCAAAACATACCATTGGCCATTTAGTTAAAAAAAAATATGCATTATGTCTGTGCACATCACCAGATACTTTATGTACAACAAAAGGAATAAGAAAAAAAATCAGAGAGAAGAGAGAAAACTATACTGCAGTAGTCAGGATGTGGCTGAACCAAGTCTCATTTTTCTAATTGTGAAGTGTTGCCTGTGGGAGCACAGTTCTGGAGAGGAAAGTAGCAGGTTCTTTTCTGTGTGTTTGTTTTAATAAACTCCTCCTGTTTGCTGCTGGAACACATCAATTGTATCTTCATCCTCCATTTCCAACTACAGAAGAAAAAGAAAAAAGGGCTTTCAATTCTTCTCACATTTCTACAGCAGCCTGGGTCATTCTAACAGTTCCTGACTTTATGTTTACTTTTTATGCAATTTAACCAGAGAAGCCCCACTCCCCTCCACCACCACCCTTTTGTACTTTAACAAAAGTCACTAACTCAAAAGCAAAAAAACTTCATAGAAAAAAAAAGCCAATTGATAACTGCTGACCTAGAATGAATTCTTGTACTAACTTCAAGTGTGTGTGACACCTAAGAAACAGATTTATTATATTTGATTTCTGTTGCCTGCTTTGCCATTGCATCTTTATTCTCTTATTTACTCCCTCAGTTCACCTTAGAATATTGCCACAATTCCAGTTGGCTGCTGCTGCTCAAATGGCTACAGCACTGGGGAAGCTGACTGGAATTAAGGCCTCTCCACAACCAGGCAGTAAAACCAAGGATCAGCAAGGACAAAAAAATTAAAAACACTCTGCATGTAACAATACTTCATTAAAATAATTATCTTTTTTTTTTTTTTTACCCTAATTTTTACAGTTGATATTTCTGGGATGTTAATGGCACCTACTGACAAAATCTGTACCAAAACTGAAGGAGTTGCTGTAACTAATTCAAGCTGTATTTCTAAACAGACACAGTTGCTGCTCTGGAAATCAAACTGGTCTATGCCATTTACGACAGCTACAAACAGACTGATTCTGAGCTTCAGCAAAACATGGATGGAAAGAAAAATGATCCTGTTGCCTCAATTATCAGCAGTGGAAATTAAAAACTTGCATAGGTTGGGGCCACAAAAGGCACAATCTTCGAAGCAACAGCTTGGAAAATTCAGAACTAAAAACTAATGTCTGTTATTTCATTACAAGTGGTTCTGAACAGCAGATAAAACTATCACTTGGTCAGGCTGATTAAACACAGCTCCATGGAGCAGGACAAAAAAATGCTCCACAGCCACAGGGATCCATTCTGTTCTTGGAATGGCCTTCATTCAAACACAGGCAACCCAAATTTCACCATATTAATTCAATTCTGCTGAAACAGCTTCAGATTACAAACAGTAAATTACTTTTGTATTACAAATGCAAGCTTGCAAACAGGATCCCTCTGATAACATCCTGGCAAGCTTTTATATAAAAAGTAAAGCTATCGTTTCAAGAAAAACTCAATTCTTAACTTACCATCCTTATATCAGAGCCATGAATCAATAAAGCAAAAGTTTTACAGGACTCACCATCTGTACACTGTACTTAATTTTTCTGTTTTATTATTAGAGTGATACAGATTTATTATTCAAAACACTCAAGTCCTGGATTCCATTTCTAATTATCCTAAACTAGTTTCAGAAAAATAATGTTAAAAAAAATCCAGTTCTATCAGTAATATACATATTTACATAAGTATTTGATAGTAAACAGAAGCATCAACTCCTGCAGCAAATTTCAAGTAATTCTTTAGCCTTGCCTGTGCTGTTTACCTGTGCAGGTGTGTCTGTTTCATTAATTGGCTGCCCATCGAACCGGAATCTGATTTGCCTCATTGACAACCCCTGGACAAAGAGAAGCAATACAAAGGGAAATGAATCTGCTGTAAAAGTACTCAGTAGTTTACTCTTGAACTTGTCACTGAATTGCAGCACCATCATTAAAAGCCACCATAGATTCTGTCTTTCCCTCATGCCCTGACTTTTAGGCATTTCACTCCAAATCCCTGCAATCTGTTTCGTATTAAACACTGCATTGTGTCCAGCAACTCATGAGAAGCAACAGTGCCCCCACTGACTGAGTTAAAATAAAGACATTTCTGCTACACCCCAAAGGCCAGCAGGTTTATTGTGCTTTTGAGTAATTCACTTACAAACTAGGTGCAACACTAGGTAACCAATGTCCAACAGTGACACTCAACACTCCTTTTCGATCTTCTCCAAAAACAAATGTATTCTATAACATTTCTTCCAGAAATGAAACAACAAAATTAGTCTGCAGCAGCAAAGAGCAAGAAAAGAGAAACAAAGGAATAATTTTTTGACCCCCAATTCCTATTATAATGAGATCAATGTATCAGAAGTTTTTCCATGCAGATGGAAAAAGTAAAGGAATTTTCTACTTCCAGAAATTAGCCAGTTATTTTGGATAAGCATTTCTACACAACACTCATTTTGCTGACCTCTTTCATCCCTAGAACAGTATCTCTCATTCTCACCTGAACCAACAGACTGAAAAATGTAACTTAGGAGTAACAAACAACCTCTCCTACTGATAATATCAGCTCCAAAGTCACCAGTGAGTTTTCCAAGGTATTTTACAGCACCCTGCATTCTGCAAAAGAAGCTCAGTGATTTGGGAATACAAACTTCCTTTCCAGTTCTATTCCCTTCTCTCCAGAGTATCTAAATATCCAAGAGCCCAATCTGGTTTTGAAGCCAATCCAATGGATTGCAGGCTCGTGCTTTGGCATCTCTGAGTTAGAAGAGAAGCCTTCATTCAGCCTGGCAAGAGCAGATGTCACACACAACAGAAGACAATGCAGTAATTATTTCTAAGGAGTAGATTTGTCAGGAAAAATATTTTAATAAATGTGAGTAAACTTTTTTTATTAACTTTATGGTTTGCAGCAAAATGCTTTCTCCAGCACGATGAAGACACTGCAGTGTTCACTCAGGACATCATCTGGTCTAAGGAAAGTGTGTGGCTCAGTCTCATGGCAGCAACACATTTCTGCACAGCAACATTTGGTTTGAGCCCTCTTCTCTGACAATGTGTTTCTTAAAACATGTATTTCCTATTCCTAAGAGTGTTGTTTTTTTCCAGGTTCATGACAACTTTATGAGCTAAATAAATGTTAGCTGAAAATATACTGAGAAACTGTCCTTTGGTGAGCTTAGTGTCCACAAAACATGAAGTATGGTCCATGAATGATTTTTTCACCACTTAAAATAATCACAAACAGTCCTGACCTTCTCAACAGATCACTCAAGTTTAGTTACTTCTATTTTAGATCTACTACGCACAACACATAATTATCTTCCTTTATAGATGCTAAGTTCTCTACCACCTATCCAAAATTAAATCTAAAGTCCACAATTTATAGATTTAAGTTGGGATATAGCTAGTTAGGTAAATAAATACATGAATAAAATCAAACTTTTAGATACACGCAGAACAAATGGTTTTAAGCAAAGTTCCAGAGGTAAGCACCTAAAGACAAATCCACATCAACAAAAATATTTGGATACTTACTAGCTTGAAACTGAGATCAGAAAAAATGTGTCCCATTCTCAATACTTACTGATTTTTTTTCCTCCAATTGATACCTGGGTTTTGTTGTTTTTGTTGGGTTTTTTGCTGGCTTTGGTTTTGTTTTTCTTTAAGCAGAGTGAACACTTTGGCAATCTAAGACAATTTGGAATCTTACTTCTGCTTTGTTTCAAACTAACATAGAATGAATGATATTTTTAATATTTTTATATGCCAGGACTTTATAGACCAATAACCAATCCTCAAATTCCCTGAGAGATAGCTGTAATTGCACTCTATGACTGGAAAAAGCAACACAGTGTTTTAAAAAATAAAACAAGAGTTTGTAGGACTGAGGTAGGAAAAACAAACTCACAGCTTCAAACATTCACTTCTACCCAGAACACTCACCTAAGAACATATTCACATGTTCAGCAAGAGCTAATTTTTCCTGTCTTTATCCTTATTCTGTTGTGGCACAGGGTAAATCAAAGAGGTTTTACCACTCTCTAAGTGAATCACAGGGGGTTTTTCCTGGTGATGAAAGAGCTGCACCAATCTCTTATAGTGACTTAATTGTATGCAGTAGTATCCTTGAATATTTACATTTAAAAAAAATTAAAAATATACAAATCCTGAACACTTTTGTAGAGCTAGAACTTTTTAAAGGCAGACAGTTAGTAAAAAATATCAAGGATAACAGAGACAAAATTTCCCTAGTCAGGAGCTTCAGAAGGAAGAGCTCCATAGCTCTACTCAAACAGGTGTTTTTAAAACTTGCAATGTGCCTGCAGTCTCACAGACTGGCTGCAGCTGCCACCACATCAGCAAATACATGGGGTGTGTTTGTCTCTTAGAAGATTCTTTTGTAAACCAGGCCACAAGAGAAAAAACAAAGCTCATCATTAAATGTACAAGCTCCTTCTCAAGGTATCTTCTCATCTCAGTACAATTAAGCTAATAAATCAGAAGTCAATGACCAGTCCAAGAAGTTACTCAGAGCTATAAAAATCCCTGATTATCACTTAACTCACTCTCCCCCAAGTTCATCCCAAACCCACCCTTTCCACAGTAATATTTAGGAGCAGTAGAGTAGCAGTTACCTCCCAGAAGCCTCCACCTATAAATGCAGACTTCACAGATGACAACAGATCTTTATTTCACCCATTTCCTGTCACAACCCTCTCAGTTCACCCTGTAACAGACCCCAAGGACAATCCACTTCCCACAGCACAATTAGTTTCTGTTCATTTTGCCTATTTGTTTAAGTTTTAAGACTTTAACTGTCTTCCTCTATCCCTGTGGATAGCAGGTCTCTCCCAGACAACCCTCCTAAGATCATACCTGTCGTTCACAATAGGCTTTCATTAGTTTACTAAGTGGTGTGTGCCTCTTAATCTTAAACTGCACCACAGACCCATCTTGCCCTGCAACCTTCAGATTAATGTGGTCATTGTTTTCAGTCTTCACTCCTTCCTGTGGAGGAAATAAAAGAAAAAAAAATAACCAACACTTTTTAAAAAAGTTATGAAACAAGAAGTTAACATTTTACCGAAGTGCAACAGGTTATTAAAAAGGAGGAAATAAAGATATTAAAGCTGTTTACTGACTTGAAATCTTGAATTAGGGAATAAAGGTCAGCACTTTTCAGTTGAAAATTTAAAGGAAATAAGCCACAATACAAAAAAAAAATAAAATCTAGTATTAGCTGTCATTCTGCAGACTGGAAATTTAACAATGAAGAATTACCAGGCCAGGCGTTGAAAACAGATTGAAAAAAAAAAAAGTTATTTCTATCAAAAGCACAATATGCAACATCAGTGCTCCCACTGAATTAAGTTACTTATGTTAAAACTATGATCTGCTATAGATGATTTGTGTTTTAACTGTGATCCCAACCAGCAGCAAGGCTCTTTCTGTTTTCATCTCAAACTTTTTCCTACCGTTTGACGTCCATATTAAAAAAAACTTTCCAGACACTTTAAAGGGCTATATTTGAGACGGTGATAAAACCTGAAGCGGCCCAAGTCTTCTCCTTCAGAAAACCTTTAAAAAAACTCCACATCAAGCAGCCCAACCCTCTCAAGAGAGAAAAACTGCAGAGGATCAACTTCCAGCTAGGTTCCTCGTGTTCTGGCCGGGCCTCAGGGCAGAGGGACGGGGATCGGGGCTATCCCGCTCCGGGGGTGCCCGGCACCCCCATTCCAGCTTTGTTTTCCCTCCTTTCTGGGAGCTGGGTCTCGCCATGTGTCAGCCCGCGCGCGGCCCCGCGCCCTCCGCCACTTCGAACTCGGTTTAAAAATCGTGTGGGAGAGAAAAAAAAAAAAAAAAAAAAAAAAAAAAAAAAAAAAAAAAAAAAAAAAAAAAAAAAAAAAAAAAAAAAAAAAAAAAAAAAAAAAAAAAAAAAAAAAAAAAAAAAAAGGAAGGAGGGGTGAGGAAGGAGGGAAAAAAAAAAGAAAAAAAAAAAGAAAAAAAGCCAACCCCCCGGCGGTGGCCTCTGTTAATTCCTGCCGTGCGGAGCGGAGCTGAGCCCCCGCGGCCCCCCTGGCCCGAGCGGGGCTAGAAGCGGCACAAAGGGGCCGGAGCCGTGCGGGGACCGGGAAGGAAGCGGCTGCCGAGGCGGCCGGCGGGGATGCTGCGGCCGCGGAGGAGGAGGAGGAAAGCAGCAAAAACCGCCTCCAGACCTGCCTCTCTCCCCGCGGAGGGCGGGAAGGCAGCCCGCGTTCGCTCCCCCTCTCCCCGGGGATCCCCCGCCCGCCCCGGGAGCCGCGGCCTCGGCCCCCCCCCACCCGCGCAGGAAAATGGCGCGCAAAGGCGGCGCGGGGGCTGCGGGCCGGAGCCGCCGCCTGAGGGGCCGAGCGCGGCGGCGGGAGCTGCGGAGCGCGCCGGCCTCACCTTGGGCTTCTCGTCGGCCATGGCGAGTCGGCGATGCGGGGGCGGCTCGGAGCGCGCACAAAGGGGGGGGCAGAGCCGGCCGAGCGCGGCGGAGAGAGGGAGAGAGAGGGACACAGAGAGAGGGGAAGGCGGGGGGGGCCGGGAGCGCGCACGCACAGCCGCGGGGCCGCGCCTTGCCCCGTGCGTGCGCGCACCCGCCGCGCTCTCCCCTCCCCCCCGGGCGCGTTCCCGCCGCCCATTGGGCCCCGGCGCGCGGGGAGGGGGCGGAGCCAGGGCCGGGCGGGGGGGGGTGAGGCGGGAGGGAGGGGGGGCGGAGGGAGCGCGCGCGCGCCCCGCGGCCGTTACATAACGCGGCGGCGGCGGGAGGGGAGGGGCGCGCGCGCCCGCGGCCGCGCTGCGTGCGCGCGCTTCCACCCCGCCCCGCGCGGCGGGCATTGTCCTTCGCAAAATGGCCGCTGGGCCGCCTTCAGCGTCCCGCACGGCGTCTCACACCGCGCCCTTCCCGGACACACCTTCCCCTAGCCCTCCTCAGCATCCTTGGCCCCCTCAAATCTCAAAGCCGCCGGGCCGCCCGCCACAGCCCCCTCAGTGCCCCCTCAGTGCCCCCTCAGTGCCTCACACGGCGTTCTTCGCACACACACCTTCCCCTGACTACCCCCAGCCCGACCGAAAGGGCAGCCAAGGGACGTGGTGGAGTCCCTGTCCCTGGGTGTGTTTAAGGGAAGAGTGGACGTGGCACTCAGTGCCGTGGTCTAGTTGACAAGGTGATGTTGGGGCATAGGTTGAGGCCTTTTCTGACCTCATTGATCCTGTGGTTCTGTGATCTCCCCTCGTCTCTGCCTTATCAAATCTCTCGCTCCTGTTTGTGCCCCTCGCTGTGTTGTGGAGGACACTGATGGTGTGGCTGCCTCCCCAAAACCTTGAGCTGTCCATGTGAAGGGGAGTTGTCCTGGTTGAGAAGCCATGTCTGAGGGAACTGAGCGCCTGCAGCACCACAAAAATTACACTACATAAATTACACTACATAAATCAATTACATGATTTCTTAAAATTCGTTCCAATGGAAGGGAGGAGGAAATTCTCCAGAGATTTCACAGGTTCACACAAAACAGTTCCTGGGCCTTTTTTCATCAGCATTGCACTTGCCACCATCATCTGCCAAATGCTTCTCTACATCACGTAGATGGAAAAGAAACACCACAAAATGATCCCTGTCAATCCTCCAGAGATGGATTTTCCAGGTGGGCATCACTCTGCACTGGCACTGCTCTGTGTGGGAACGCTCTGGGTTGTGATACAAAGGTGGCCATGTGGTCACACACCCCTGCTCCTGGCAGGACAAAACTTTCTGCACCATTTCAGAGATGTTCCTTGTCCAGAATAAACTGCTCACATAGTGAGATATTGACTGAAGAGAAACTTCACTTTTGGGCAGAGCTGCAGACTTGCTTTTCACTGTCAGTTCTGGTCCCTCTCCGCTGCCTTTGTCATGTTACTTCACGTTCCAGCTCCCTCCTTCTGAGCACAGATTGGATTTTTACTGCAATTTTCTGGAAATTGCAGAAGAGTAACACACCAGTGTTCCTCTTCAGAGGAAGCTGAAGCCAAAGCTTGGTATCCAAGTCCCCAGTTGAGAAAATAGCACAGCCATAGCCCAACCTGAGGTAGGAGGATGGCCCAGGCAGCCATCTGAGCTTCCACAAAACATGAGCAGTGAAGCCTTTTACCATCCTTTGTAGTCTGAAATTTAGCCTCGAATTTCATAGAACCTTTTAGTTTTAATATTTTACCTCTCCTGAAGGGTCTTAATGAGTCAGTTCTGAAAAAATTCCAGGCACTGAAGTGTTCAGTTTGACCCAAGAAGGCAACAGATGCTGTTTCAAATTGTGACTACAACTCAGATCCTTCTTTGAGCTCTGCTTTCCACTTATACTTGTGTCAATTTACTTGATTTATCATCAAAAGATCAATCAGTTGATCCTGCCTGTTTTCTCTGTGTTTAATTACTCATGCTATTATTTTTCTGTTTCTTTAAGGTACTGGGAGGTGAGGAGAACCATGGCTGAGGAAGACCACATGCTTCTACCCAAAATCCCCCTTCATGTGTGATTCCTCAGGCTCCTATGATATCCTTCTTTCATCTGAGCTCTGAAAAGCAATGGGCAACTTGGTTTGGACCTTCTCAAGTCCATCATCACCACTAAGAAGTAGAACTACTAGTGACAACAAGGAAACAAAGCACCTTAATCCCCACCCTCCTATCTCATCCATAGCTTTTTTAAGCAAAACTCCAAACCCATGGGGTACTTCACAGAACAAAAAGATGAGTTCTGATTCCCAGTGGACCTTAAATTCTATTTTTAGAGATGATGCAACGTCACAGAGAAGTGTGAGGAAGGTCTTGATGATCCTGTTGTATTTTGTTCTTGCCACTTCTTCCCCCTCCGTCCTTGAAGATCCCTTTGCTGCAGGCCCAGGAGGAGTTTTTGCGGAGGTGGAATGAAACTGGCCAAGGCCAGAGCGTGGCATGAAAGAACTGAAGGCAGGAATCGTGTCAAGTGAGACACACATTAAGGCAGCATCACAACTAGAACAAATGTGCTAAAAAAGACAGGAAAATACTGTAGAATTTATGAGAACATATGGGACTTAGACATTCTCAGAAAGGCTGAAAACGGCACCAGCACTCGTCTCACCACCAATCACACAGATCCCAAATCACAGAACAGGTTTCTACAAACCTCATCTCTGTTCTTTTTACATAGCAACAGAGGAAACTATGAGAAGCTGGAGCTGACAATAATCAGTGCTAAAACCTGCAAAGGAACTGGCCAGACGGCAGCACTGGGAGCAAGCAGCAGGGGGAGAAGCCCACTGAGAACTACAAAGGCCCCTCTCCTGCAGGGTCCGAGCTGCAGCAGAGGGGAGCAAAGCAAAGCTTTTTGTCCCTCTGACCTCCTCCTCTTTAATGCACCAAGCTGAAGGGAAGTGAATGGGGAAGCGTCACAGTGAGAATTCCTGAGAAATTCCATCTCTGGGAAAAAAAAATTCCATGTGTTGTTTCTTAAAATATTTCCATGCTTTTTTTCATTCTTGTACAGGTTTATAAGAAATAAATCTAGATTTTGCAGAGATCTTTGGCCTAATTCTCCACCCTCTGATGAAGAGGGCAGGGAACAGAATCATTCCATATATATGCTCTTCACACTGTGATTTTAAAACATTAAGTTTTTTGACACCAAAGCAGCTACAGGTGGGTGTGTACTCCTGCACATCAGCAAATGTTAGCCTACAAAGCCAACTCCAGCCCCTTTAGAACTGACTGTTATTTTGCACTGAGTCCAAAGCAAGAACTGAAAGCAAACAGTAATTTGGAGGTGTAAACAAGTGTGTCTGGTTACTGGATCAGATCCTGCAGGTCTGAGTGCTTTACTCAGGCTTTGCTCTTCATTAATTCTTTCTTAGCCCTGGGAATAGAAAATACCTTTTGCCTACAGCCCTGCCTGTGCTGTGCCTTCCCTGTTCATGATGCTGATCATTCTGTCTGTTCCCCAAATAGCTTCCAAATCTCCTAGTTCACAACGTAGTAACTCCTATCCTCATCAGACCTTTTTTTTTTTCCCTCTTGACTGTAAATCACACCATTTCTCTTTGCTTTCCTTTCTGGACCCACAGCCTTTCTGAACAGTGAAGTTCTGCACTGAATGGAAATTCCCAGTTCTGCTCAATGATACGGACTGGAGATGTTCAGAAGCCTCGAGAGGTGAGCAGGAAGGTTTCCCTTCTAAATATGAGCAGAGCTTCAGCCAGTGTTTAAGAGGACTAAAAAATGTCAAGATTTCATACTAAAACTCACCTTTCCCAAGATGATTTCCCCAGGAATCATCCATTTAGGAACAACAGATGCTGCGGATATGAAAAACCACTGACACTTTAGGGAGTGAGCAAAGTGGACAGTGTGTGCCAAGAGACAGCAGGAGAAGATCAAAGAGTTCCAGCTTTCAGTGTCTCTTTACACAGATGGACCTGGGAGCAGCAGAGGACACTGTCCCACTCCTAGATCCACCTCCTACATGGTGGATCCCTACACAGTGTTACATGGATATTCTAAATATATTCTGCCACTCACAAGAAAGTGCTGCAGTTATAAAAGCAGCACCTTAGCCTTGAGGAACAGTGGCAGGAGGCCTCATACTCCTGGTTTTCAGATACCCAGTTTTGATTTGCATCTAGAGCCTTTTAGTGATGTGTGGAATGGTATTTTGGATCTAGGAATGCCCACTAACATCCTCAGAAGTCTGCAGCACAGAGCAGCACCATTGTGTAAGACAGTAGGTGAATTTGGCTTTGTACAGCAGAGATTCAAATACAAGCACATCCTCAAATAACAAAACACAGACCCTTACCCATGATAAACGGTGAGGGGTTTAAAACTGATGAGTCTTCAGTCTCTCAAGCAGCTTTCTGAGTATTTGATTTGTTCTACCTGCAAAAATTCGTTCTTTCTGACCTGAACAGACACCACTTCCTTTTCTCAGCATGACTAGTTACATGACATGCTCTTCCCAGAGATAACTGCTGGCTTTATTTTTATTGGAAATGATGGATGCAGCAGCTGATAAGTAAAAAAGGGCAATTTAGCCAGGGAGTGTGCAGCCAGTGACTGCATTTGTCATATGAGGACAGCAAATGATTTATGGTATCTTGAAAAGTTAAGTTCTAGTGAATGTCCTGGGAAGGCACCAGCCTAAGAGGGACTGGTTCCAGCTGTGAGACCAAAGCAGCATTGCTAATACTTGTCTTAAAAAGTGTATTGCTGAAGAATTTGGTTATTGGTTAGCACAGGCAAAAAGTGAGGAGTACGCAGAAGTGGGAAGGAGAGCAGAACGGAAGGAGAGGAACAGGATGCCATTAGTTTTATCACACCAGGTTATGGAGTTGAATGCCATAGTAGGTGAGCTCCTAGTGTTAACAGAAAGGTGATGAGCCTCCAACAGCCTCAAAAGGCACCTCAGCCCAGTGTCCAGGGAATATCAACCTCCTCCTGAACCGTGAGTGAGTGAGTGAGTGAGAGTGAGGCACAGTGGCAGATCTTCCTGCTGCAATCCTGCTTCATTACTAGTCGTTCCCCAACCTGCAGGCAACTCACTCTAGTTAGAGCACATAATTTGATTTGTCAGCTTTATCAATGCCC